TACCAAAACACACCCAGCTATTCCTCAATCTTTCGAAGGTCTTGCGATAGAAGCTTGTTCTCCCTGTGGATAGAGAGAGTGTTTATAAAAGGCACATTAGGCAATATTCATAATATTCAAAATATAACATGTACAATAAAGCCTGTCTGGAAACAGATTCTGTTAACAGCAAAAGACAAAATGTCGGTAAAAAGCATATGAATGGGTTACTGAAGGTCAGACATGACTCCATGTGTTCGCACAAGCGATTGAAAAGATAAGTAATGGTCTCAGCCATTACACATAATCACCCTGATAATCCAACCCCTGCTGTGTTGGCCTCCATATAATCCAATCCCCTTTCTGTTGACTTCTGCATAATATAACCCAACCCCTGCTGTGTTGACCTCCAGATAATGCAAACCCCATTGTGATGGCCTCCAGATAATCCAAACACCATTGTGATGGCCTCCAGATACTCCAATCCCCATTGTGATGGCCTCCAGATAATCCGATCCAAACTGTGTTGACCTCCAGATAATCCAAACCCCATTGTGATGGCCTCCAGATAATCAAATCCCCATTGTGACGGCCTCCAGATAATCCGATCCCAATTGTGATGACCTCCAGATAATCCAATCCCCATTGTGATGGCCTCCAGATAATCCGATCCAAACTGTGTTGACCTCCAGATAATCCAAACCCCATTGTGATGGCCTCCAGATAATCCAATCCCCATTGTGACGGCCTCCAGATAATCCGATCCCAATTGTGATGACCTCCAGATAATCAAAACCCCATTGTGATGGCCTCCAGATAATCCGATCCCAATTGTGATGACCTCCAGATAATCCAAACCCCACTGTGTTGACCTCCAGATAATCCAAACCCCATTGTGATGGCCTCCAGATATTCCGATCCCAATTGTGATGGCCTCCAGTTAATCTAATTCGCATTGTGTTGACCTCCAGATAATCCAATTCCCATCGTGTTGGCCTCCAGCGTTAAGACTCAGTTATTGGGTACCTACTCTGTTCCCGGACTCACCACAAGGATTATGTTGGACATATCGGCACTGATGACGACAACTGACCACGAACGTCCGAATTGACTCTTTGAACGGCAATTAGCAGTGGTACACATAAAGTCGAGAATTTATGGATGTCAACATCTTTATTTTGAGGAACACGACTTTTCGGAGTATTTTCTTACACCTTCAAAATGAGTTGACATTGGTAAATTCTCGCCTTCCTAAATGACGTTATCCATAGATAAAATGCAAATTCAACATCTATTCCTTGCATAGTTCAAGCCAATAACATTCCATTCCATTTAGATGCCTCTCTGAAAGCATGCAAGTACACGCGGTGATAAACCTAATCTTCCCTTCAGTCACATCGTTGTCATCGTGCGGTCGCAACTATCGGCTTTATCAAGAGAAGCACATTTCCCCATGTCATACAATGACATTAATAGCGCCTTACGTGCAGGAATGAATGAGAGGACTATCAACTCAGAGGACTGATAACTATATCACGATCATAATAAACCCTTGTTTCGTTATGAGTTTCGTGAGAGGAAACATTCTCTGCTCCGACTACGAAGACAGGGACTATTTTTTAATTTTGAATTATTACGTGTGTCAAGGCACTGATTTCCTTGACGTGATTACAGAAGAAATCTTTAAACACCAAAGGGGCTGAACGTAAATATTTTCCAAAATTAGAAAATATCTTTCCAGATGCAGTGGTATGATTTGCAGAAGATGAAGCACACTCTTAGTGATGTTGAGAATGATGACGTTGTATTTTCTCCTGTTATGTGTGCTTCTTATTTATCCGTCACGTCAGAATGTTTAATCGTTCCATTTTAAAGAACATTAGTGTGAAAGTTAAGTTACCATGTTAACAGAGCGATCTCTGGAAACGTAATTAACTCCATGAAAACAGTGATGTAACGAATTTGAACGAATCCACCTGTCCTTATGTGCGTGAGTTAAAAATTGTTGGCTCAAGGGTTACTTTACATTAGTACATGGTGAACTGACGTAAAAGCACAGAGTAATGAGCGTCGGTTTTATTGCTGAGCAAAAACAGAGCAGTCCTTACAGCAGACATGGGTACTGGAGGCGTAGTCAGGAGTTCTGACTTCACAGATAGTAAGGAATGTAAACAAATAGTGCCTGTAAGTCTCGCGAGGAGCTACTTCCGGTACTAAGCTGGTTCCCGGCTCCGTTTGCGCGCGCCAACTTGCGATATGCGAGATAAAGCCCAGCTTACTTCCGGTGCCATATATCCGGTGACAAGCGTATATTCAAGAAACCAGTTCTTGTTCCAAAGTGCGCAACCCCAAAATATGACTTTACCAGACCGGACCAAATGTACAAGCATGCTTGGCTGTCACAGCTGTTGACAGTCGTAATAGTTGGCTAATTTGGGGATGGTTAGATCGGAAATTTGCTATTCCTGCAAGGATTATCGGTTCCTTACTGTCAACTGACAACCATGAGACCAAGGTATTAAACGTTGTTTGAAACCGGAAGTACTAAGGTCTCGCGAAGTGCCGTGACCTATAGCTAATGGAAAGAAGAACTGATTTAAAGTGGACAGTATAAAGGGTACCGACGTTTTAGAAGATAGTGAGGAATACTGACGTGTGAAGACTGTGAAGAGTACTGACGTTTTTGGTGATTGTAAAGGGTATTGGCGTTTTGGGAAATTGAGAAAAGTCATCACGTTGTAGGGGATTTTAACGAACACGGGCGTTGAAGGAGATAATTTGGAGTGCTGGCATTGAAGGAGATTGTAAGGAGTGCTGGCTTTGTAGGAGAATGATAGGAGAGTTGGCTTTGTCGGAGATTTCAAGGAGTGCTGGCTTTGAAGGAGATTGAAATGAGTGCTGGCTTTGAAGGAGATTGTAATGAGTGCTGGCTTTGGAGGAGATTGTAATGAGTGCTTGCGTTGCAGAGTATTGTAATGAGTGCTGGCTTTGAAGGAGATTATAATGAGTGCTGGCTTTGGAGGGGATTGTAATGAGTGCTGGCGTTGCAGGGTATTGTAATGAGTGCTGGCTTTGTCGGAGATTGTAAGGAGTGCTGACGTTGAAGGAGGTTGTAAGGAGTGCTGGCGTTTTAGGAGATTGTAATGAGTGCTGGCTTTGTAGGAGATTGTAATGAGTGCTGGCTTTGAAGGAGATTGTAATGAGTGCCGGCTTTGAAGGAGGTAGTATGGAGGGCTGATTTTCCAGGAGATTGTAATGAGTGCTGGCTTTGAAGGAGATTGTAATGAGTGCTGGCTTTGAAGGAGATTGTAATGAGTGCTGGCTTTGTAGGAGATTGTAAGGAGTGCTGGCTTTGAAGGAGATTGTGCTGACTTGAGTGAGTGAGTGAGTGTGGTGTTACGCCGCTCTTAGGAATATTCTAGCAATATCACGGCGGGGAACGCCAGAAATGGACTTCACAGATTGTACCCATTTGAGGAATCGAACCCTGGTCTTCGGTGTGACGAGCGAACGCTTTAACCACTAGGCTACCCCCACCGCCCCGTGGGAAATTGTAAGTAGTGTTGACGTTATAAAAGGTTGTAAGGAGATTGTTTATGAGGACAGTAAGGGCAACAAATTTTGGTATCAAATAATACATGGTCTGTCGGCGCGGTGCATGATACCTTCGCCCAGTATGTATACACTTAGGTCTTGCTACAGTTATCAACAATTATTGACATGTCCCTTTAGATTTACATGTAATGTACATGAGTGAGTGGATGAGTGAGTTGAAGTGAAAGCCACTTTAGAAGATAATGCAGTTATATATGGGTCTGTTGGCGTGATGTGTGGACAAAGAAAGCCCGAAGTGATGCAGGTATCAAACCTTTGCCACTTTGTTCAAGCCCAATAGTACGGGTATGGTGCTTACATGCATAGAAACATAAGCAGGTCGAACGGTTGAAAGATCGAGAGAAAACTGCTCGGACCAAGCAATCTATGAGTTCTCAATTGAACTCAAACAAGATCCACATTTTGGCTTCTCACACTTTCAGCTTCCCGAGACCTGAACACAATATAATCGGGTTAGCATGTAAAACCCAGGAGAGGATTAGGGACATGTAGAATAACTTAATTCAGTAGCAAATAACGCTTAGTGGTGTATCAACGTGACCTTGACCTTCACAACATTTGCCCTCAAACAGCATCACTGGGATATGTTAAGAGGTTATTACATGACAGTGTTCCTTTCGCCAGCCATATCAGCCTCCGGCCCTCGGGCTGATATGACTGGCGAAACGGAAACTGTCATATCATAGCCTTTTCATCATATACCACTTCAAGGGACGTAACACTAAAGTAAACTAGGCTCCGTCCATTGAAGTTTTGAACCTTTGCGTGCATTCATTCCGCACCAGTTTAGTAGCCGGGCAATACGACTGATGTGGCTGATAAGTATTTTCAGCCCGGGTGGTTAATATAGGCATATGCCGAAAGCCAGTATTGCATGTGCAAAATGGTCCATATTCTTCATAGGTATATGATAAGTATAACCACTTTCACATGTAAGTGTTCAGCAATAGCCAGTTATCATATTAGATGTAGTTTGTTTCCCAGAATGAATGAAGATTGTTCATTTCGAAACTATTTCACAAGGGAACTCTATCCAGTTCAGATTGTTGAACTCGCTCAAAAACTAAGGTATTGAGTGTAATCTGTATTCTAATATGGACATCACGAAAATGTCGTTTCACCAGAAAACATAACCTTTGGCTAACGAGTGTATTACAAAAGTAGATTCTCTCATTTTCTTTATTAGGTTTCAGGGATATATTTAGTTGTAATGATTCCGACACACCTTTAGACTGAAACGAGTTGGAAGTATTTCCATCTATCATACTTTTGTAAGATGAAGCACTTGTCCTCCATTAGATCGCTCTCACACCGATGTCAGGTGGAGTTCAAGATTCTGCGACGCTCACGTTTCGGATGCTGATTTCGTTCAGTGTTTTGTTTTCAAGACCAGTGTTTTGTTGCAGGGTGCTGATGACGTTGTGACGGAGCTGACATGAGCTGCTTCTCAGTATTCCGCGCCATCACTGTACGTCTGCTCTTCTCAAGTCACGGAGCCATTTCAATATGGCGGTTGTACGTGGTGACGAAGGACCAGCGTTTTTGGTACCTTGCGTGTGCGCTTGGTCTGCTTCTACTGGAAATGACCGTCACCCTCGGCAAGAAGGGAGGCAAGGAGTGGAAATGGTAAGTTCAGTATATATCAATATTGTCATATCCTGTTATTTGTGAACTGTGTTGTCCTTCAATGACTCATTTTCTATTTAGTACGTGCACGTGTGACTTAATGTTTATGCTAACAGCGTAACAAAAATGAGCTGTAACGCGAAAAAAAAATTCCCCAAAAGTAGCCGTGCGTACATCTGACTGCCCTACAGAACCAATTTTTGTTCTTAGGACAAAACAATGTCGTTGTGTTTTTGTATGATACATGTATACAATTATTCTTTGTGAGCCCTGTTTTAATAATTTTTATATTGCCATCTTATTCGCCTTGATTTCAAACCTTGACTTGTGATAAAATTGTATTATTGATGAAGGCGGCGTTACAACGGACCAACTCACTCTCTCGCTTCTCCAGGTTCTGCCCGAGTGTTCTCATCTATCTGATGTGTGTGGTTCCTGCCATCTGGTTCCTGGAACTGAACGAGATGGAGAGGCGGATCCAGTTCCTAGCAGCAAACAACGGCACCATCATGCCGCAGAATGAGTCCATGGAAGAGATGAGCACTACCCTTGGCAGTGCATTTGGTGTGAGTACAAGACTGGGTTCACAGCATGCTTTCCGCAGCAACACTTGGAGGAAACACTTTGTTTTGTACCTACTAGGCTCTCACGATTCTCGAAGTAAACGCAGTTATAATATTATTAAAACATATGTGCACATCTAAATGCGTTTGTAGCGCCTTCTGAAACCGAGAAAAGATTTTTCGAAAGAAGTATTAAATCACGACAAACACACACACGCATGTCTAAAGAAAACACCCGTGCACCAATACATATACACACATATCCACTCACACGGACACACACCCACACACACACACACAGACACAGACACACACTAAGTAGCAAGCAATCACACACACGCGTGCGCACATACCACACAGACACACACGCAGACACTGACACATGGGTAAACATAATGATGGCCCTTCTGGCTGTTGTGCAAAACAATGCACATGTGAACTGATGCTCCGAGATTACCCCCACTTCATCTCCCAATACTTCTAAACAGTAAAGTGATAGGTTTGTAAAGACAGCGATTTCAAACTGAACTTTACATGTATCATTAGCGCCTCGATTCTCTTGACAAACGCTGTACGTCTTTCAAGGGGTCCATCCAAAATGCATGGAGAAGTTTCTTGATCTACCAACGAAGGATACTTCTTATTTTATATATATGACATGTACTTTGATATGTTTTAGTATCTTTTCCAAATACTAATTCTGAAAATGTAAATCAAATGATGGTATTCTTAATTCTATTTACCTTTTAATTAATCAAACATTTTTTCAAAAAATTGTATAAACAATCAACTTTCTTTTGTTTAGGTGCAATAGGTATATTTCAAGCAATTTTTCCATGTGGTTGCAAGTAGCGTTTCCAGAAGGGTCATTTTACCTTCAACGGTAATTTTCCTATCCAGACACGCTGATGCAGGGAGATATTCCTATAACAGCACTTGATGGTGCTCTGGCTGTCAAAGATACACTTAAAATCCCCTTTACAAAAGAGAAGTAACTAAACACGGCGATTAGGGTAAATGTGAGCAATGTTAAACGTGATGGAGTCTGGCAGAGAACAGTTCTGACGTGGTGGTTATGAAGCCGGATGCGTGTTATACCCCTCTTCGGGACAAGGTAGTGATGTACGTGTCTTAAACGGGCACTTAAACGGGCACTTAAACAGCCATAAAGCGATACTGTGTACACACATAACGACGGGAAATATATTCTATGTATAGAGCTGCCTTGACCGTTAGCAGCATGGCGTGTCTGAAACCATATGTGAATGAGTATGGTTTTAAGGTATTTTTAATTCCAGTAATACATCTGCAGCTGACAGCAGAAACGGGCTTCACACATCGTGGGAATAAATCCGAACCTTTGGTGTGACGAGCAAACGCATAAACCACTGGACCACCCAACCTCCTAGAATATACATGTTTGACATCGTTTTTAAATCGTCTTTTTGCCAATGGGTAGTATAGCGGTTAAAGCGTTGGCTCGTCACGCGGAACACCCGGGTTCGATTCCCCACATGGGTACAATGTGTGAAGCCGATTTCTGGTGTCCCCCCGTGATATTGCTGGAATATTGCTGAAAACGGCGTAAAACCATGCTCACATAAATCGTCTAGGATCCGTTTTTGTATGTGTGGCTCCGATGCATTGGAAATCGAATGCCCGAGCTGACGTCATAAACATATGACGTCATCTCCTTTATGAGGTGATCTTTTAAGAACATTGCCTCGGAGAAAACTACAGTTACATGCCAAAAGAATCAATGGTTCCTCACTCACCTAATTACGTCAGTGCAATGATGATGACTATCAGCTCTGAAGTAAAGTGTAAAGTGAAAACAAATTCAACCTGGCATTCACAAAGGAGGATGCCTTTATTTTTATATGTTTCGTTATGAAACCTTTATTATTGTTAATATGTGGTCTGGTAATCATTCCTAGATAGTATCAGCTTGGCATTTACTGGTGGAATCAACTTCCGTGCTAAAAGCAGGTGTCTCGTGTAAAGTTCTTATGTATAAATATATGTTTCCGTTTATGATGTACACTAGTATGTGTATGTGCCTGTGCATTGTTTCTATTAATATATATTATACACTTTACTAGTTCTGGCATATATAATTATTTACAACTAGTCCTTGTAATAACTTTACTAGTTATCGTCTCTATAATTCTACACATCTTGAGCACTTATTGTCTATATAATTCCACACAACGTCGCTGGTTCTCGCATATACAATTCGGCACAACTTCACTAGTTCCGTAAAAGACATCACAAGTTATCGTCCATATCACTCTACATAATTCCTCTAATTCCGTCTGTATAATTCTTTACAACCTCACTAGTTCTCGTATACACAATTAAACACAGCTTCACTATCTCTTGAACATTCAGTTGTAAACAACTTCTCTAGTTCTCGAATATATAGACAAAAATGATACACAACTTCACAAGTTGTCGTATGTACAATTATAAAACGCCTCCCTAGTTTTCATGTAAATAAATATGAAAAGCTTCACTCATTCTCGTGTACAAAATTATAACAAGCTTCACTACTTGTTATTGTCTGTTGTTTCTTTTATTTCGCTAACACCTGATGTCATCAATATTTCATAGTGATTCATAAACACATGCCCTGTCATCGTATTGCATGGTGACAATCACTGGTTTGTCTGGTCTGGACTCGATAATTTTACAAACAATATTGGACATCTGTAATATAGACTTGCACAAGTCTCTAAGGTAAAAGTTCATAGTCTAAATAATAATTTCTTGAAAAATAACAAATAACACACTGGGGTCGTGTACTGTCGGCTTATCTAGACTTGCCTCTTTGGAGGAATGTATTACTCTACATCCATGGGCTCAGCATTCAGAACAGCGTAAAACTAAACTCACTCACTCACTACACCCCAGAACATCTGCATATGAGTCAGTTTTATAAAAAGACCTGACGTCTTATCTGCAACACCTGGCAGAGTCAGACAGTGTTAGACAGTGTTAGCTGCAACAGCTGCATCAGTTCATCCCACGCCATGGGATGCCATGTTATCTTGACAGACACTACAACTTTTTTGTAGCTCATTAATTTGCCGCTGGAGGCCAGGGGATTGCTTGTCCACAGCACAACTGAAGCGCTACATGCTTGTTCCGGGTTTTTCAACAGAAAAATCAAATCTGCGCTTGGTATTGTACAGGGATCTCTTCCCATTCCCTCTGAATTATTATGTTTGTTTGAAACTCGATTAGATAAATTATTTCATGCTTAAATATGTTCACTGTCAGCTCCTTGACATTGAAGTGACAGACTGTGCCGGCATGTGACATATACTGACCCAATCGCATCTCAGTGGCAGTGCACAGGCAGAAGAAAATATTGAAACCAAGATACATTCCAAAAGAAGCACAAGCATAACTGAATAATGAATATTGTACGAACAAACGGGAAATCTCCTGCACCAGTCCACTAAAGTATGGAATATGTCTAACTGAATATATTTCACCCTTCAGTACCTCACATTAGGTGAAACGGTACGCTCTTACCAAGGTACTGTACGTATTGCGGTACAAGGCCTTCGGTTCGGTCCATTTCGGTTAAGTATATGAGATATGATCATAATGCAGAAAATTGAATTGACAAGAACCAAACCTTACAGAATTGCATAGATTTTGACAAAATGATTCGAATTCTAGTCATTTTAGAAAAAGTTTGAAAAAGTTAATAAAATACGGTACGAAAATCGAAAATACCGATTTTTTGCGTTGCATCACGGTATACCGAACAGAAGGCAAAATACCTCGGTTCCATGAATACCGCGGTATACCGTTTAACCCCTATCTCACATCAGTAAATTGCCTGACGAAGTGACCAGCTCGGAAACTACCTGCTTCCAATGACATCCCAACATTATTATTTTATCGTTCTTCTCATCCGCATATAATGATATGAACACTATTTCTTCCGCAGTGAATGGCAGCAACACAGTGAGTCAGACAATGCTTCGTATTGTTTTACATCGTCCACAGTCCATCAGGTCAATAAACTGACATAAACACCGCAAGAACATCAATTCCCTTTTAACCACCTACAATTACAACACCGGGAAATATTGCAAGGTTTATAAATATCATATTCTTCATGCATAAATGATATACAATTTTCCCTCATAACACAAACACATTAATAACCATAACAGATGGCCATTAACGTGTTCCCCTCAGCGGGGAACGAAATGGGTAAATGACGTTAATATGAAGTTCAAAGATGGGCATCAGAGAATCCAAAGCCATAAAGTTATAGGGCAACTCAGTTACTGCATGAAATATTGCTTAAACAGTGACAGTTGTCGTAATCAAGATCTAGTGGCACGTTAGCGTGCGATGAAGTCATCGTGGTATGCGAGATTCGATATAAACAGAATAGGATAGAGTGAAAAAATCCAGCCCGCCTCGCATTTTTCATTTGTTCAAAGAAGCTAAGTGTGAATAGGTGTGCTTCGTGGATAGGTTCATCGCAAAAATAACGAGATAAGGCCTCTGTGATTTGCATTATCTCAGCAGCAGATAGAGGTTAATGAGACTTTAAGGCGTCGGCCAAAAATTAGGACGTTGAAATTTGAGACGACAACTGTAATGTTTTTGTTTTATTTTCATGTTTTATGGGGTGATGTAGTGCGCGACTTCAAGATAAGGGTTGTATTCTTTTGGTACCTCCGTACATTTAGAGGATTTTATTGATCGTTTTTTTTATATTAGAATAGTTTCTCTAAGAAGGGAAATACTTCATTCGTCATGTTTGGAAACAAGTGCAAATTGGGTTGGCACAAGGTCTGGTACTACCTGTGTCATCTTTGATGAAACCTGTGGGATTTAAGGCCCCTGCAAACTATGCTGACAGGTTTTGGAGAAACGTTGTGTTATACAAAAAACAAGAAGTTGCCATCCATATACTCGTCTTATATATTCACCAACTTCTAAATGCCTCTCAAGAATTTCAGTCAGGTTTGGAGAGTTGGCTAGGGGTGGCCAGACTTGGAGATTTGGTTTCATGCATGACGTCATTCCCCAACGTCGCCGTTCGCTGCTCATAATATCAATCACATGATTTTTCAGGGATTTTTCAAACAAACACACGTTCTTAGAAATTCAATAACGTTCATATAACATTTCATTTCACGAATTAATAACGCCATGAGGCCTTTGTAATGAGTGTGGACAGCAATAATTATTGTTCCCAACTGCAGCAACAGATGGATTGAACGATCTTCCACTGGAACATCTACCATCTCTACATCTTTCACTGTCTTCCTCCTCCTCCTCCTCGAAATCGTAACATTATTTTTAACTAACTCGCATCTCTGTTCCTTACAGTTCAGGTTCGAGATCCGCATCCCCATCCTGATGACGTCGGACGAGTGGATCAGGACCCTAGAGCAGCTTCTGCTGCTGATCCTCATCCTAGGACGGTGGATCCTGCCCAAAGGGAAGCTGACTCACGACCAGCTGTCGCAGCTGCTCCTCGTGTACATAGGCACAGCTGCTGACATCGTCGAGTTCTTTGATGCTTTTAAAGAGGAAGTGGTGTGTATTTACCCTTCGTGCGGTTTGCATATTAACTGTATAAACACACTCAATGAACCACGAGTCACTGTGTTAGTTTTGACTCATGTAATTAATCAATCTTGGACCTCCTTGAAACACAGGTTACTACGAGGGAGTATTGTGTTTCGCAGGTTTTAGTAATGTTACAACAATATGACGGCGGATAACACCGGAAATGGGCTTGATATTCATGGAACATAGGTGTCCTATTATGCAAGTGACTTTGTTCGAAAATTGTTCAGTCAGTCAGTCAGTCAGTTCGGGTAACACATTTTTCTGCAAACTTCTATTTTGTTTTTCAATAATTCAGAACCATGAAAGCACTTGTTAGTTGCTCCTGCCCACAGAACGATATGGGCTCATTCGTATATCGGAACCGATTTTGTAAAAATTAAACCATTTGTATCGACAAACTTGTATTTCCACAATTATGTGTAATGTTGAACTGTTTCTATTTCAGGTGCGCTACAACAAACTCCTGTGTATGATAATTCTTGGGATCTGGACTTTGAGTTTGCTTCAGTTCACGTTAGTTCTCACAGCGTCGAGAGTTCGGCGAGATCAGTCTGGGCTGGCCACAGAACATCCCCCAGTGAAGAAGGTGGGTTGTTGTTCCGCCGACGTGTATGGCATTGTGATCTCAATCCTCCTCCAAGATGTTCCCTTCCTGGTTCTCAGGATGCTGCTCATTTTCCGCTACGGTGTCCTTAGCTACACGAACATGTTCTTCACGTCCAAAAACACTATTGTGATTGTACTTCTGATATACCGTCTGGTCGTGGTTCAGGTTGAGAAATCACAGAATGGTCGTATCAAGAGGCTCAAACAACATCGGTACCCTTACGACTTTCAGAGCAAGCGTTTGGTTGATTCTATGTCATTGACCGACAGCATCAGCACATCCTGCAGCAGTTACTATGACAGCAAATCCAGACTGGTTGGGAGCTCCAGCATTCACAGCAATGGCTGGTTGGATACTCCAAGGTCTCAGCTGAGACGGAAAGAAAAGCAACGGTTAGCAAGAACCTACACTCTGGAAGATTTGAACACGGATATTTAGCCTTCAGTGAAACACCGATACCGGGACACTGATAATCAGGGAGCCCCGAATGGTTGATATCGGGAGCATCTGTCTAAAACAGCCTACCGCAGATTCGTTGACACGGGAATGTGTTACTCCGAACGATTTGTTCTGGAAGGAGATGCCCAGTATTAACGGGGTCGCTGTGATTTTTATCTTTGTGTTGTGTTCATTATGAGACATTTCATCGTGGTTGTTCTCCCGGAAATTTGAAGATATCGTATTTTTTACCATTATTCTGTTACAGGAATCTGACTGAGCTACTCCTTCGTGCTTGGAAATCATTTGGCATTGTCCAAATACCATCGTCCAATTCAACTGCCTATGAATATGTATATGTTAATATTTGTTTGTTGGAAGAGGGATCAGTTCATCTGATTCTGACACCCCGGTCAATAATAGGCTACGGGTACCAATCGGATGTTTCTTCGGACGGCTTAAGAGAATCAACTGAAAGAGGATAATGGAATTCTACAAATCTGATGCTGTGTTTGTTCCAAGTTTGGCATATCGGATTATATGTACCCAAAGACTATTGTTCCTGGAAGACTATTGCATGGCTTCTGTGTGTCTGTATTTCTGCTTGAGTCTCTCTAGATGGCCCGGATGGCAACTAGCGTATGAGGATAGGACAAGTTTGCCCTATACGTGATACACGTCAGACCATTCACTGCACAGTAGAAGTACATTGTTTACAAGTATTGGTGTAGGACTGACCCTTCTCATGTATTATCAGAGATGTTTAAGGACAGCCGTTATAAATATGTGCAAACATGTCTGAAGAGAGGCTGAGTCTCATCCTCCTTTCAGTAGTCTTTTTCACTAGTTTTGTAAGTGAAAACCCGGTTGTTGACATGACATGATAATTAATTGTTTTCAGATGTAAGGACGATTTAACATTTAAAATACCTCTCCTTGCACATCTTAAAAACTGATGTGTTTTCGAAATGGTTCACTTCCCAAATCTTCAATGACATTTGTTCCAGTAAACTATATCAAAATGAAACCTGGATTGTTTCTATTCAAATGAAAATGATAAGTTGTGATTGCACGGTTATTTTGAGATTGTTCTCAAACCATTCGCTTGATTCTGTTGTTGTGATAGACTTTACTTGTACGTGTATTGTGGGTCTGTTATCGTTTTGTCTGGAGTCATTGTTCAGGTGCCATATCATCATAATATCATGGGCATCATGTTTGTACCATGCGTATACAATGTGTGTACCATGCTTGTACCTACATTCTTGTGTGTGTGCATCACGCATTGTGTGTACATGACGCATTATGTGTCTGCCTACACATTATGCGTGTACATGACGCATTATGTGTCTGCCTACGCATTATACGTGTACATCACGCATTATGTGTGTATATCACGCGTTATGTGTGTCCATCACGCATTGAGTGTCTACCAACGCATTATGTGTGTACATCATGCATTGTGTGTGTACATCAAGCATCACGTGTGTCCATCACGCATTGTGTGTATACCAACGCATTATGTGTGTACATCACGCATTATGTGTGTCTACCTACCCGTTATGTGTGTATATCACGCATTACGTGTGTGGTTCACGCGTTGTGTGTACGTCACGCAGTTTGTGTGTACATCAAACATCACATGTGTCCCTCACGCATTGTGAGTGAAACATCAATCCTCATATATGTACATAATGCATCATGTATCCTGACATGGATTATGTGTGCATGATCATACATGTACCATGCGTATCATATCTGTTTGTACCGTTGTGCAGTTGTGTCTTCAGGGTTGTCATTACCGTATTCCTTCTGTGTATAACTCGTTGCTTACATCATTCCCCAACTTGCGACACTGCTACTACTGATACTGCTACTACCTTTGGTAGTTTTATTTTATATTTGTATGAATGGTGAGCAAATTTATCTCTCGGAAAATTGAAATGCTTCGTGAGATTATTTGTATAATTTGAACAGTTTTCTGTGTGTCATAACTTTTAGAATACTTATGAAAACGTGTCCCAGAATATTTCATAAAATAACACACACATACTATTTGGTATTGTGTCATACGTGTCCTTACATTTGCAGGGAAAATATTTTAGAAATAAAACTTCAATTAACGGATTATGTTTCATGCTATACGTCTTGTTTTTCATTTCTGAAGATAACACACAGATTAGAATATACAACCCCCAGCCCATGTCGGTCCATATTCGCAGCATGATAGTCTTCATAATGCAGGCCAGATCTTACATTTGTATGATCCCAAAGTCAAAAAATCCAGTAGGTAAAGGCCAAGGTCAGAAGACTGTACTGACCCCTTAAGTATGTCCACCATTGCCCAGAAGAGAGTGAGTGAGTATGGTTTTACGCCGCTTTTAGCAATAATCCAGCAATATCACGGCGGGGGACACCAGAAATTGACATTGTACCTATGTGGAGAATCGAACCCGGGTTTTCGGCGTGACGAGTAGTTAACCACAAGGCTACCCAAACGTACCCCACTGCCCTGAATCTGATAGCCATAACGTTTGTTAAGGTTTTGCATGACTTAAAATGTCATAGCATTAGGGTATTCATCGTCGTATATCTACCATGTGATAAAGATAAATATAACCAAGCGAACGGCAATACAGTAACATTATTTTACAGTGATGTTGCATTTCCTATTCAATCCAATTCCATCCTTTAAGGGATACATCTATTGCTTTTATGATGTCTGACAACATGTATACAATGTTTGTGACTTCTAGGTCACATACCAAAGACCTTATTAAAATATTTACGTGTACATGTTTGGAAAATATTCCCACAACACCAGGTGTCTACTTTCTTCTGTACGTCAGTATATTTTGGGGGTCCAAGCACATTCCGATTCTAAAGGGGTGATCAGTCGAGCTTGATTTCTTATTAACCGTTGTATACCAATCAGTTTGATTCAATGCCATTGCTCCAGCTATATCACATACGACACGGCACGGAAGATCAGTTTCAGACAATGAGCCTATGTTGAGAATATAACCCGTGTCATCGGTGGTGTGAGCGAGCACCACAACCTCCAGGCTACCCCACCGTCCCAGGTTCCTGATAGCAACGTATTCCAGGTACGCCGAGATCACTTTCAGATCTCTGATCCCATCCTGTTGTTGTCAATCACCACGGAGCCCTTGTCTGCGCTATCTGTGGCATCAGTGCTGGGAGATGTTCTTTCACCCCCTGTTTTCAATTATTGCACTTGTGAAACACGTACCGTTTGTTATTCTAATGAAACAAACACTTTATCTCAGTGCAATGAGAAGGCTCATAGCCTATGAAAGGGACTGTTGAATTGAAGAGTGGGATGTTTATTGTACAATGCAATTGTGCTAAGTACACAAAATACTTAAGAGTTGGTATTTTATCACTGAAACACGCAGACACGCGTATGAGAAGCACCATTTGCTTTCTTGTGCATCGCTACACACTCAACATTGAGGCTACATATTTCAACCCGTGAAGATCCGGGTTAGAACTGGTCTTCAGCAACCCATGCTTATCGTAGGAGGCGACTAACGGGATCGGGTGGTCAGGCACGCTGACTTGGTTGACACATGTCATCGTATCCCAACGGCGTAGATCAATGCTCATTCTGTTGATCACTGGATTGTCTGGTCCAGACTCGATTATTCACAAACTGCCGCCATATAGCTGGAATATTGCTTAGAGTGGCGTTAAACAACAACGTTCAGCGGCGTAAAACTAAACTCACTCACTCACTCACATATTTTAACCATCTGTCTAGTTACACTTGAATGGGGTCGGAGGGGTAGTCCAGTGGTTAAGTGTTCGTTCGTCACGCCGAAGACGCGGGTTCGATTCCCACATGGGTACAATATATTGCTGGTATATTGCTAAAAGCGCCGTAACACTAAACTCACTACACTTTAATGGTCGATAAGCACACGTGTAAGTATTCTGTTAAAGAAAAAGTCGCTGGTGACTCTGAGGGAGGCAAATCAGGTTTGGGTCGGGTGGGTGTTTTCTGACTGGGCTCACCATCCGACTGCAGAGAACGCTATCGATCTTGCGCAGATCGATGCTCATAAGAACAATCACTACGTTATCAACTGAGGCTTTAAACAACAAGCAAAATTTGTTCATGCCCCACTCTTCGTCTCCGAATACGCCGTGATAATGTTGAATTCATGCTCACAATAAGCACATGGAACACACGTTTTAGCTGTCTTTACAGAATACATTTAGTTGGCACAGCTCACACATCTACAGATTGCCACGGGTGGCACGGTGAACCGAAACATTCATATTTGACGTTAGTTGAGTCTCCTAGTCCAACTAGGATCCGGTTACATCGGTTCGAATCCCGTATTGATATCTGTAAGGAAACTTTCTTTAAGCACCTCAGATTCTAGATTAATCTTTTCCCTCAATTTCCTAGTTAGTAGTAACCATAACAACGCGATAACCGCCATGTTGGAATATTGGAGGTATTGAAAACTATCGATTCTATTCAAGTCATGATATAAATATGAAAAGACAAGGAAATTTCCTGCATTTTTCTCCATGGAAGTTCTACTTGCGTGTTAGTTAGAGTCTACTTTCCATCTGTCTTAATTTAAATGGGCGGTGGGGTAGCGTGCTGGTTAAAGCGTCCGCTCGTCACGCCGAAGACCCGGGTTCGATTCCCCACTTGGTACAATGTGTAAAGCCCATGTCTGGTGTCCCCTGCCGTCATATTCCTGGAATATTGCTAAAAGCGGCGTAAAACTAAACTCACTCATTCACACTTCATTTGAATGGCCCACAAGAGACTATCCTTTATTCAACACTGAAATATCAAAGGTCATATATATATCAACATTGCAAATGAAATATTTTCATCGACCCGGATTCTTCTCTTTATTTATTCTCCATTTATTGCACTGGGCCTATTCGTAAATTATGAAAATATCAAAGAATTAAAGAAAACGGTTCGTTGTATATTCGTCCTCGTTTCAATCCGATGTGTATTTTCAAAATAGGTTTCCATAAACTGCGGTGTGTTAATAATACTTTGAAAATTCTAATACATGTCCTGGAATTCTTCTGTTTTTCAAAGTCTCAGACTGGAACCTATTTCCGGTTACATCATAAATACTTATCTTTCTCATACACGCACAAAAATGCGAGAGAAAGAGAGATATGTATAGGAATCCGTAGCATCACATCGAAACTTTCCAATGTTACGTATTTTTGTGGTTTACACGAATGTATTAAATTGCTAATAACTTTGGAAAAAAAGAAAAAGTTCTAAGCAGATTATTCAGCTATGTCTGCTGTGAGGGTAAATATCAAGGTTGTGTCTTGTTGGCTGGTATTCCGTCTCGCCCGTATTGACATTTCTGTGTGAGCAATAAACATATTTCATATAACATTCCATGTAACCCCCAACCCGATGCGGCTATATCCATCGTGCCAAAGAGTTCAAAACTGATATGAATGCGTGCATGGATTTTTAAAATATCAACAAAAATGGCTGCATACATCTTTTCCTTAACACTTTTTAATTAATTAGATGAAAGTTAAGAGACGCGCGCTTGGTACCAACAAATTAAATCTTGCTCATCGGGATAGAAACTGGGCGAGGACCCTTCTTTAGTGTTTGTTTGAGCATTAATTACAGAGCCAGATCTCTAAAATGTTTCATTTTACCTAGATGAAAGGGACGTAATACTGTAGTCAGTGCGGTTTATTCTGCTTGGCATGCCTTAATGCAATAGCGAAAAATATTTCCGTTAATTAGTGCCGGGTTATTGCAAAGACTTAGACAAGCACGTTCTTGTCGTAAAAATCATCTAAGTAGACAGTTTTTATGTGTGAAACTATCAGAGAAGTAATTAATTGAAGACTTGACAGTTCTGGCGTATCATACTGGCAAATTGCACTTTAATCACTAATTGAATTTATGAGAGGGCGTCGATTATCTGACATGAAAGGCACCGCATTCTGAAATAGATTACGTGTTGACATCAACATGCACGTGTTATTATGAAATTGACAAGGGATGTCTGAAATATGGCCCAGTGCAACAGCCTTGGAGCTGGATAATGAACAACAGGTTCTATGTATAGACGTCGAGTCATTATTAGAGACAGTGGACGCAAATAGCAAGTAAATGAAAACAAAGTTTAGAGCCTGTACCCTCTTACGCTTGTTTTATGGGTGATGCATCAAATTTCAACGTCGTTTCTCGTCAGTGATGCAGCATGAAATTGGGAACGTTTTATGAATACAAGAGCATATCTAATCGATTCTAAGCAATTCTACTCGGACACTTATTCTGTCCTGAAATGGGTTGAGGACTCAACAGGGAGGAAACTGGTCTAATGTATCGCTTATCGCTGTGTGAATTGCCTCCCTTTGGCGTGCCAGAATTCACTGATAGTAGAATCCATCGTTCGCTCTGAATATGATCCGTGTTCACCATATTATCGTGGATTCACCAAACTGATAAACGTTTTACGATCTGGGTTAATGTGGGATTCCTCCGACAAATGGAGCGGTGGGGTAGCCTAGTGGTTAAAGCGTTCGCTCGTCACGCCGAAGACCCGGGTTCGATTCCCCACATGGGTACAATGTGTGATGCCCATTTCTGGTGTTATACCCCCCGTGATATTGCTGGATTTATTGCTAAAAGAGGCGTAAAACCAAACTCACTCGCTCCTCCGACAAAATGCTGTCTCGTCCTAATGTATAGTTCAACCTGTGCATAAACTCTATTCGCTCCTCGCTATACAATAACGATTGCTTAACTGTTGACAGATTTAGGGGAAAGGTGTCACCTTGACGTCTTCCATACTGTCACTTTGATGGGTTATTGTAAGCAATGACATCAACACAAGTTAACCCTACGAATTACCACAAAGTGAAATGGGGTATACATCATCGCCTGGCATCCATTATCGGATATCATGAGATCGCTGACTAAGTTTAATTTTGTTACTTTAAAAAAATCATTCATTGTATTTCTCGACTGATGGTTAGTCAAGGTACCATTTACACTGCATGCATTAATTTCAGCGAAATCGTGAGTGATCATACGAACTCCCCAATATTTCCTTCAAGCCTCGTCATATATTCGCTATTGACACCTGCAAAACA